CAAAAACAACAGATGTCCACTACAGTTGAACTGTTGTCATTATATTCTAGCTTTGCTGGGAAAAAGCCACTAAGAACAAATTCAGCAAATCACAGACTTGCACTGAAGAGACACAAGAATCTAAGAAGCTCAGCCTCTTTTCTCTAAATAGAACATAGTTTATACTCTCAAAGACAGATGCTTATTTATTCTGTGCTGAGAGCTCTCTAGCCAAGAGGATTCCCAATATCCTTCCTTCTCCATATTGTTGCAGGCTTTGTGACTCTTCCTTGTTAAAGAGAAAAATGGGGAGGGGATATTTTAAATAGAGTAATAAATATGCTTGCAGGAAAGCTAAAGAGCTATGTTATTTCACAATTTTGGAATTCAGAGCAATTAAAAAAGTAAACAATCATATTGGCTCAAAGGGGAGAATCTTTTAATCTTTGAAACAACTTTATTTGGATTATTTTGGCTTGTCCAGAGACTCTCCCTGTGGCTGTATTATAAATCACTTCTCATGTTTTCATTATATACTGTTCTGTTGGGGCTTGTGAAATAAGGAATTACTTATTACATTTAGTTCCTGTGTGATGGGGCTTTTCTGTAATTCACATGTTGCTTGATATACTATGAATTCATATCCTTTTAGAAATGTAGTTTGGAAGCAATTTTCATTAAAATTTCTTATAACATATAAATCTGAGATCATTGGACTGAGGCCTTGTTTACACAAATTGCCAATGCTAGTACTATTTCATGGAGTTTAAAAGTAGGATGTGTTTTTCGAACTGGTCTCTGATGATGAACATTTGGAGATGATTTATGATTTCTAGAAAAACACTTGTTCCCTAAACAGGTGAAATTAATCCCTTTATAGTTCGATACCAATGCAATTTAATTAAACTAATCTTTAAGAACTGAAAAGGACATTTCTTTCTCTTGCTAACTGAGCTTGAGAATCTGGGGGATCTAGCAAACTTAAAACACATTTGAGAGTGTTTCTATGATGGGTAATATCAGTTCTTGAGTTTCATTATTCCACTGAGGTTATAGAGTATCTCGGTTATCATTTAGAGACTGCCATACCCATATGTTTTATTATGGTCTCGACTATCTTCTATTGGGCTAAATTATTATCATTATAATTTTGAGTGAAAGAGAAAGGATACATCAGGAATTTTTTGGCAAGGTTGCTCAAAATGACAGTCTCCCATCCCAATCTGTCAGCTAAGACCACAGGTGTCCACTGTGCCTAACTTATCTGCATTGGTCCAAGAACTAAACCTTGGCTCCCAGAGCTGTGTTAACCTTGCACAGTGGTGTCCCACCACCTGCATCATGTAGTGAGGGCATATTGGGCTAAATTCTTAGAAAGAACAAAATATTCACAGAAAGTGTGCCAGAAGAAAGCTGAGTAGGCAATTGCCTACACTATAATTCAAGGAATGTCAGAGGGAATCTACTTAAAGATTGAGATCCCACAGAAATGGCCCATAAGGTGCAATCAACAAATATTTGCTCAATAAAGGGAAACATAAAAGAATGGATTAGTATAAAGCCATCTTGGAGACAAAATTAGAAAAGTGTCATTTAAATAGTTCCTTTTAATTTGCCTCCTCACTTCTACACCAGTTTACTTTTACAATAGTGACAACCCTTGGCATTAAAGAATATCATACCAGGGCTCAGAGAAGAATGTCTACACCCACACTCCCAGAAATAAAATAACTGTGAACAGTGATAAAACCTTCAAAATACAAAAAGTTCCTTGAATTATTAAAAATAAGACAATTTCCTTTGTTCTGCCATACTGGCAGAATTTCTGTCTTCTGCAGAAACCCATAACCATCATGTCTAAGTAACTGGTAATCTCAAATGTATTAGTCACAGAGAGCTCCTAGTTTTTACTATTCTAAAGACAACATTCATAGACATTACCATGTGAGTGGCACCCTGGAGTTGTGTTCTAAACACCCTCTAGTTACTCTACTTGACATCTTTTCAACGAATTTGTTGTTTGTCTAAAACCTAAATTCTTTGGGCTTGGTTTTGATCCCATATTCATTACTAAGTTTGCAAAAAGTATTGCTGTAAACTAATGTGTTATTTTTTCTTTCTCCCTGTTTTTGTGGTTTGTGGGGCTGACATTCAGCAAGAAGAATTCCAAGATGAGCCTAAAAGTCTTGTGTTGGAACAGAAGACGACAGCAGGTAGAGTACATTCAGTGTGATTCCTGTTTTCTGGGCTGCTGTTGCTAACAGCAAGACTCAGAGCAACCAAAAACTCTGCAGATTGCAAAGGAAAAATCTCTGTATTCCAAATGATTGGAAACACAACTAGAAATGTCACTTATGATGCATTCCAGGCACAACATCTGGGCAATCTGGTCATGATGCAGAAAATAGCTTGTTCTCTTCTTTGTCTTTTCTTTTATTGATTTCAGTTCTCAATGAACAATGCTTACAAAGAAATAGATGATGATAATCAGTTCTCAATGAACAATGCTTACAAAGAAAGTAGATGATGATGATGAAAAAAAATCAAATTCAGTAATGCAATCCTAAGATAAGTAGTATAGTTACTTACTGAAATATTTGTGATTATCTTGGAAAATGTTTTCTCGATAACTTTGCTGTTTTTTTAATGTTAGTGGGTAGTCAAATATGCAGCTTTGCTAAAGCTATTTACCCCATAATGAGACTTCCTATGAGATAATGTGGAAAGAAACAAATGATGAGTGAGCTTATAATTTAGTTTACAGCTAAAATCAGTAATGATGAAAGGCAATGGTCATAAAAATAAACATTAGCCAAATGGACCTATTAATAACGAAAGCTAAATCTTAATACTCTTAGTCTCTATTTTCCAACAGTCTCTAGTTTGCTGTTTTACATGATTTAGTGTTAGTAGACAACTCCAGAGGTATTTGCTGCTGGCACAGACTCATGCTCTTGTAATTTAATGGAAATTTGGGAGCAGGCTTAAGAAATTGGAAATAATAACAAAAAGAGCATACAAAGTAGAGAAAAAGAGGCACCCTACGATGGCAAAAATGAAGAAGAGGGAACTAGCAATAACTAGCTCCACAATTTTCCTTTCCAGTCTCCCCTCCCAAGTTTCGTGTACCCCTACAATGACAAGCATTGCTTAAGTTTAGTGCCTCTTCTGCAAGGACATGTTCTCTTTGCAGATCCTTGTATGGCTGGCTCATCATTCAGTCTCAGCTCAAATGTCCTGTCCCAGAGTAAAATTCCCTGACCTCCTTCACATGGCTGGCTCATCATTCAGTCTCAGCTCAACTGTTCTGTTCCAGAGTAAAATTCCCTTACCTCCTTCATTCTTCTGAAACCATCTTCATCCCACTGCACAGTTAAGATTTTTTTATAGCACTTATTTTTATAGCACAAAGTCATCTTTATGTTGGCCTCTGTTTTTTACTTTTATTATTTTAAATTTTATGCCAGAGGGATGGAAGAGAGAGAGAGAGAGAGAGAGAGAGAGAGAGAGAGAAAGAGAACTCCTTAATGGGGTTGGTCATACCATAATCCTTTTTCTTCAAATTCTCCATCTTGTCAGAATCCCAGTCTTGTGCAAATACACCCAGCATGTTTTTTAAGCTGCCTTGGCTGGGACTCAGACCTCGGCTGAACATGTAGTTCCAGTCATTCAGTTAGGCACAGTGCAGCCCTAGTGTGTGGTCCATTTACTTACTTTCTCTTATAAAGCAGGACCATAGTTTATCTTGTTTGTTGGTGTCCTTAGCACCTTGGACAGTGCCTGGCACATAGTAGTCATTCAGGAAATGCTTGTTAAATGAATGCCTCATGGCCCTCTCTTTCTCTCTGTAATGGGGATGTAAGCGGGGTGGGTTTGATGTGGGCTGATTATATCTATTTTAGATTCCTGAGATAAGATAGGCCCTTGCCCTCATGACAACAAATTATGTCTAAGAGAAAGATATTTACAACATGACAAATAACAAGATAGATAAAATCAAAGTGCTACTGGGCGCAATGAGGGAGAGGCAATTAAGTGTATATTAGGAAAGGCAAACCAAAAAAGGCTTACTGGGATTCATGGTATTTGAAGTGCAGAGTCTGAAAGCAGAGGTACAGTAAGGGCACACTTGGAGCTCACATACATACCTCTGAAAATGGATCTGAGTGCAACGTTTCCAAACTTATTCTTGATTTTCAGTTCCTCAGCTAGAGGAGAAGGCTGGGACAATAGTCATGGCTGTGTCGATTCAAGTTTAGCCAACTAAGAAACTCTGAGCTTCCCAGCTGCTGTTATAAATGATAATCTTTTCTCTCTGGGTATAGTGCCCAATACACTGAAGTCTGTTCATATGCATCAGAAGAGCACAACTACTCACCAAATAGCTTATATTCTAAGATATAAGCTATTACACTGAATCCTCCTATGGCATCTCAGGATGAGAAAAATAGACATCTCATTCTCAAAAAGGCTGCTAGGAGTCCCAAATCCTTAGATCCTCAGAGTGTATTACTGGAAATATGGTGTAGCTACAAAGACTTCCCTCAGCAAATATATTTGCAGGTCAAACATCTCATGAAACGTAATTCTGCAGAAAAGGATGGACAGAGCTTAGAAGCCTAGAATCCCAATTTCTTTGTGACCAACTGGTACGGTTTTAGATTTTGGATATGTGAATAAATGACTTATTTTCCCGCTTTCTTTTAAAAACAGATAATACTACTATTCTCTAAGTGGAAATTTCAGGCAGAATATGCATGGTTTATTACTAAGAAAATGCTTGGGTCAATCTTATTTTGGGGATTGCTATAGAATATTTTTCTTTTATTCTTTTTTGGTTTTTGGCATAGGGTGGATGTGCTTGCGAGAGAGAGACAGAGAGAGAGAGAGAGAGAGAGAGAGAGAGAGAGAGAGAGAGAAAGAAAGAAAGTGAGAAAGCACACCCATGGAGAATGACCATGCTGAAATCCCTTCTCCTCCATTCTCCTCTCAGGATTTTTGGTTACATAAACACACATGCCAGGCATGTTTATCAAGACTCCAGGTCCAGGACTTTAACCCTTAGTAAGCCATGTGGGATTTGGCCACCTTCACCACCATGTCTCTTGTTGGTCTTAGTGTTTTTTCTTTATTCAGGATTTATTCCTGAATGTGTGTCTTTGTACTATGTCTTCAGTATACTCTTGTCTCTAGTTTTAGTCTGTTCAATCTGGATCTTCCTTAATCATTTATTTATTTAATTATTTATTTATTGCCATTGGGCATGAAGCTTGACTAAAGAGAGACACAGAAAGACAGACAGAAAGAAAGTGAGAAATCGCTCCTTAGGGGGATGATCATGCCACAATCCTTTCTCATCCTCCTCCTGGGATTTGGGACATGTATACACATTTACTTGGAGTGATTCTCGAGCCACCAAGTCCAGAACTTGAACCATGGTTGACCATGTGGGAGTTTAGCACCTTAACTAACATGTCACCTGCTGGACCCTCATTATTCTTGGAAATCCTGCTAGGTATTAATAAAGTCTGTTAGATGATTTGAAAAGTATGAACTTAGACAATACACATTAATTGAATGTCTACTATGTGGTAGATCTTGTGGTAGGAATTATGCCATTTTTAGAGTGTAAATAAAGTAGGCATGGCTTATGGAGCTTACGAAAAATGAGAAATGAAACATAGCCATTAGATACATGTTTAAACTTACGGAGAAATGACAGTCTTTAAACGAATAAACTGTAAATTTAAAAGAAAGTAGGGTGCTGTGGAAGTCTTACTCATGGAGCTTATAGTTACAAAAGGTCTGTAAAACATGGTCCCAGATGGGCCAACAGATGGGATGATGGTTAAAGCACTGGACTCCCACATGGCTGACTGTGGTTCAAGCCTCTGACCCAGTGGCTTGAACTCATGCTGGGTATGTGTGCATGCATGTCCCAAATCCTGAGAAGAGAATGGAGAAGGGACTATTGTATGGCCCTCCTCCATGAGGTGTGCTTTCTCACTTTCCCTCTGTCTTTCTCTAGCAAGCTCATGAGCCTTATACAAAAACCTAAAAGGAAAGGAAAGGTAAGGTAAGGTAAGGTAAGGAAAGGAAATGAAACGAAACGAAATGAAACAAAACAAAACAAAACAACACAAAACAGCCTTATACAAAAACCTAAAAGGAAAGGAAAGGTAAGGTAAGGTAAGGTAAGGAAAGGAAAGAAAACGAAACGAAACAAAACAAAACAAAACAAAACAAAACAAAACAAAACAAAACAAAACAAATTGACCCAGAAAGCTCAGACAAAAGGCAGAATATAGCATATGCTGAGACAGGAACAAGAGTAGGGTGATTAGATACAGTAAAAGGGGGGAGATGACTCAGTTTAGGGGATCCAGGAAATTTCCAAGATAATGTGACACCTAAGCTGGGCCTTGAATGATACATCTGAAATTCATTCGTGAAGACAGACACATTAGCCAGGGTATTAATAAAGTGAAAACCAAATACTAAATGGAATCCAAAGTGATACCTATTTGGCCTTCAGCCTATTTTTTTCAGCTGATGACTTAACTTTAGGCATTACCACTTTATCCTGAGGTCTATAATTTATACTTGCAAAGTTTACTCAGGGACAGTGATGGAGTACAGTTCACATGGATGTGTATTTAATCTTTACCACCATCATTACCTGGCTCTTTAATAATTCAGTGTGTATGTACATTTGTTTTATATTATTTTGCTTTGCTTTACTAAGTGACTTGTCTACAATAGATAGAACACCTATGTCCTCTCAGAATCAGCCAGCATTTCCCCTTTGATTCTATGGATGTATTAACTGAGAGGGTAGCCTGCTTAGAACAAGTCCCTTTTAATATGATATAGCATGAGCTGTGGTCGGCCAGTGTCGCATTTCAGTAAGAGGAGTGCCAGGCAGGTTCTGCAGGTAGATGAAGTCTACCTTTGCACTTGAGCCCACCTTTTCTGTGCTCTGCTCCTCCTCAGGGAAGAGGGGTCTCTCCTTACTACCTTTGGTTCCCAGTTTCTCTACCACTCAAAGGGCATGCAATCAGGCATGTATATCTTTTTTTTTTTTTTTTTGAGAGAGGTTTTTGCTATATGGCGCGTGCACGCGCCAGAGAGAGACATAGAGACAGAAAGCGAGAAATCACCCCCCAGGGGGGATGGTCACGCCACAATCCCTTCTCCTCCATTCTCCTCTCAG